TGTGTGGATTCAAATCCCACCGAAACCACCGAGCTTTTCACAAGTCAAATTATAATCGTAGTCTCCTGAAGTAGTTATACGTTAGTACTCACTGCAGCGATCTGTTCCACTGATGTATTTGCTAGATTTGTTGTACTACCATCGTGGATGCCAATAATCTGCGGCTCGGCCCAAACTGTCTAGTTCATAGACCTCTTAACTTCAGCCAAGTCACCCTGGTTACAGAAGAATGATGAGTTGCAATTGTTAATCGGTAACTGTGAACGTTGATCATGATAGCCCAAAGTAATGTAAAGTTTTAGTAAAGCAATTCCGATCACGTGGGTGCTTTTGCAAACGATGAGTATTAGGTTCTTGATGTGGATGGTAGTTGACTGTTGGATCATATCATCCTTGAACATTAATTATCGTTTTCGTTTAGTCACTTTGTATATGTCTACATGTATTGCGGTGTGCTTCTCACCATATCCGTAAAGATTGGTGTTATATATATATATATATATATATATATATATATATGCTTACCTACCTTTTATTCTTCATTGCTTATCCCAACTAGTAGCCGAAAGATAAGCAGCACTCGCAAAGCATTTTTTTAGTGAGATTGTGCTTTGTTTATACGCTCAGTGATGGTCATTTTTGCAACCACTGAACGCTTTCGTCGCCTCGCTGTTTTTCCTTTTCTAGGTGGCTGATGCTATTCTTGGAAACCAAATGTTCACGCATTATGATCGCGCTGCCGTGGCTCAACTGTGTGAAAAAGCCGGTCTCCTCCAGCGGGCTTTAGAACACTACACAGATTTATATGATATCAAAAGAGCCGTTGTGAACACGCATTTGTTAAATCCTGAAGTAAGCCTTTCCGTCCGTATTGGTTTATCAGAATCCGGTTATGGTTATTGCTGTTCTCTCATGCATCTGTTGATATTCCCTTGTTTACAAATTTCATTTCATGATTTGTAAACCCTTGGGAAATATCTAAACGGAGGCTTTGTTATGTACTGAATACGAGAAGACAACAGTCGGTAGTTGCTCGAGAGAGAGAAGATTGAGAGCCCATAGATGTAAGGTTTTATTCGTCTAACAACCCTGGCATATAGACTAAAACGTACGTTATGAATACAGCGATATGCAGTAGACGCGGTAGACACGACATTCTCCCCCGGTAAAGAAAATGTTGTCAGGTCTCTCTGCTTCTCAAGTTATACGGACGAGTTCGTTGCTGTAATTCTAACAGTGAAGGTTGTTGGTTATTCGCGGGTTGGGGAGGTTTGCAATGTGAGGTGAAATAAAATCATCTGTAGATTGGTTGTGTGCACTTTCAATAGGGGCATCATTTGATATAGGTTCGATGAATGGAGTTTCGGGGACTGATGGTGGACACGATGATGGTACAGGGGCTAGATGATGAATGGACACCGTTTCTTCCCTACCGTTTGGAAGTCTGACGTGGGCGTACCTTGGATTACACTCGATCAGCTCTACCTCGTCAGCCAGTGGCTCGTACTTTGATACCCGAGGGAGGCGCTTCATTAAAACTGGTCCACGAACAGTCAGCCAACTTGGCAGTGATTCGCCGGGTGTTGACTTGCGATTATACTTAAACAGACGCTCATGAGGGGACTGATTTGTAGCGGTACACAAGAGGGAACGAAGAGAATGTAAAACATCAGGGAGAAGAACTTCCCAATCACTGTAAGATAAAGATCTGGATTTGGCGGCTAGGGTGATTGCACGCCAAAGTGTACCGTTGAACCGTTCAACTTGTCCGTTACTTTGCGGGTTGTATGCGGTGGTTCGGCTAGTTACGATTCCTTTAGCATGAAGGAAACGTTTTAGTTCATCTGACATGAATGAGGAACCACGATCGGTGTAAATGTAAGGAAGTGTACCAAATACAGAAAATAACTGACAGAGGTGATTGATAACGGTAGTAGTTGTCATATCGATACACGGAAATGCGAACGGGAATCGCGAATA